TTATTTTTTAACAAGACATTAAAATTCTCTAGAACTAGAGGCAGAGGCAGAACAAAATTGGGTCGCTCTCTAGCTACTTGATACGTGTTTTTAAATTTTTGATTTTTTTGGGCTATCATCTATTTTTCTATATTTTCTTTTTTGCCTTTTTTTTGTGGAATCATTTGCATGTGGTGTTTATCGGGTTGGTAGGGTGTCATGTTTGGGCCCTCTCACACAATATATCTGTATCATTCTTTCTTTTTAATAAATTAGCCCTTGGGCTTTCTCAAAAAATAAATAAAAAATAAGACATTAAAATTCACATGAGAACACATACAACATGGACACTCTAGTAGATAGAAGGTTTCAAATTTTATTTGTAGCACAAGACAGAAATCAGAAAAAAAAAAAAAATACGTGTTTTTAAATTTTTGATTTTTTTGGGCTATCATCTATTTTTCTGTATTTTCTTTTTTGCCTTTTTTTTTGTGGAATCATTTGCATGTGGTGTTTATCGCGTTGGTAGGGTGTCATGTTTGGGCCCTCTCACACAATATATCTGTATCATTCTTTCTTTTTAATATATTAGCCCTTGGGCTTTCTCAAAAAATAAATTAAAAATAAGACATTAAAATTCACATGAGAACACATACAACATTGACACTCTAGTAGATAGAAGGTTTCAAATTTTATTTGTAGCACAAGACAGAAATCAGAAAAAAAAATTATTACCATTATGTTTTTAAGAAGTTTCAAAGAGAAGTCCAAATAAGTCATTTTGAAATTTTATTTCCCAAGGATTTAATATCATAAGATTTCATGCTAATTGTATTTATGTCTCGTGCAATTTTCTTTTTTCTGTAGCAATTATCTTTTTTTACAAAAAAAAATTATTAACATTATGTTTTTACAAAGTTTAACACTTTTATTGTCGATTCCAAGCCCAAATGTGAAAAGTGGAGGGTTGTGTGACGTAGTCGATCGCCTGTTAAGTAGTCGATCGTCAACATAAAACTTGTCGAAAAAAAACATAACATAAATCATTTTGATCATTGTGTAAGTGCTAGAGCGTCCCCTGGAAGAGACGCACTATATGGTCTGAATATAGTGAAAAGTGTGCAAGGGTCGCTACACCGGTGCTCAGGTGTAGTATCAAATAAGCAAAAGTGTTCACATTACGAACGAATGCGGGTAAATAAATTGGTCCATGAAACTAATATTAGGAAAAGATCTTGGAATATGTACTTTTACTGGTAAATTAATGAAATTAATTGATATTAAGATTCATAGAAAGATAAATATCTTATGTGTTCAAGAAACTAAATGGGTTAGAGAAAAGGCTAAGGAGATTGATAACTTAGGTTTTAAACTTTGGTACTTAGGCAAGAGTAGCACTAGAAATGAGCTAAGTGTAATTATAGATAAGATTTTGAAAGATAATGTTGTAAAAATTAATATAGTTCGAGATAGAATTATAGGTGTTAAGATTATTGATACTAATATTTTTAATATTATAAGTGTTTATGCTCCTCAAGTACGTTTAGATAAGGTTTTAAAGATAAATTCTGGAATGACTTAGAAGACTTAATACAAATGATACCTATTGAAGAAAGATTTTTTATTAGAGGAGATTTAAATGGACACGTCGATAGAGTAATAGAAGATTTTAGAAATATTCATGGTTGCAACGATTTTGGAGTGATTAATAAAGAAAGTAAAACTATATTGGATTTTACTTTAGCATATGATTTTGTTATTGTTAATCCTTAATTTTGTTATTATTTATAAGAATGGAGCTAATAAAACATAAATTGATTCTTTTCTTATGAGAAGAAGAGGTCGTTGAGAATGAAAAGATTGTAAGGTCATTCCAAGTCAACATCCACTGTTAGTTATAGATTTTAAGATAAAGAATCGTAAAACAAAAAATACTAGGAATCATTTTCATAGAATTAGATGGGGGTACCTAAAAGACAATTAAAATTATTTTTAGGAGTAAAATTCAAAATTTTAAAATTTGAGATGTTCATGAAAAAACAAATTTTATGTGGGATAAAGTAACAAAAAACTATTAAACAAGTGGCAAAAATTGTACTTGAAGAACCAAAAGAAAAAGTTTCTATAAATAAAAATAGTTGGTAGTGAAATAATAATGTGCAAGAAAAGATAAAATATAAGGTTTGCTATAAAAATTGGTTTAAATGTAAAGGCTTAGGGAACTAGGAGAAATATCAAACGTCCCGTAGGGAGTCTAAGAGAACAATTTGTGACGCAAAAAATTCTGCCTTTAGTGATTTATAATAAATTAGATAATAAGGAGGGTGAAAAATATATGTATAAACTAGTCAAACAAAGAGAAAAGAAAAGTAAAGATTTAAAAGTAAAGTGTATTTAAAATAAATATCAAAAAGTGTTTTTCTTAGAAAAAAATATTTAAAATAAGTGGGTGAGTTATTTTAAAAATTTTTTAATGAAGTTTTAGAAAATACGATCGATCTTAGTGATCTTAATATCGTTAATAATAATAATAAAATGTCAATAAAATGTTTCATTTTTACTGTCGCATTAGTAAAAAAGAAGTAGAGGATGATTTAAAAAAAACTAAGGGTGGAAATTCTATAGGATCTGATGATATCCTAATTGAAATGTGGAAATATTTAGGAGATTTGAGAGTTTATTGGCTTACTAAACTCTTTAATATTATTTTGAAACCTAAAAAAATGCCTGAGAAGTGGAGGAAGAGTATTTTGGTCCCCATTTTTAAGAATAAAGGGGATCCACAAGAGAGTGCCAATTATAGAGGAATTAAGTTGATGTGTCATACTTTAAAATTATGGGAGAGGGTAATTGAACATAGGTTAAGAAGTATTACAAAGATTTCTTATAATCAATTTGGATTTATGTCTGACAGATCTACTATCGAAGCTATACATTTATTGAGAGGCTTGATGAAGAAGTTCATGTATAATAAGGAGGATCTGCATATGATTTTTATTGATTTAAAAAAAGCTTATGATAAGGTTCCAATATATATCCTTTGGAGAGTTCTTAAGAAGAAAGGCGTTGATAGGACTTACATTCAAGTCATTAAAGATATGTATACAAGAACTTTTACTTGTGTTCGAACAGGAGGATTGACCAATTATTTTCCTATTTTTATTGGTTTACATTAGGGATCGACTTTAAGCCCATATCTTTTTGCTTTAGTTATGCATGGTCTTACTGGACAATTACAAGAGGATGTACCCAGGTGTATGCTTTTTGCTGATGATATCCTTCTCGTGGATTAGATGAGAGAAAAAGCACAGGAAAAACTTGAATTATGGAGGTTTAACTTGGAGTCTAAAGGCCTTCGTTTGAGTGGAACTAAAACTAAATACATGGAATGTAATTTTAGTAGTAGTTGCTCTAGTGACAAAAATGTAACTATGGGTGATCAAATTATTAAAAGATGTGAACTCTTTAGATATCTCGGGTGTACTATTCAAAGTGACGGTGATATTGATGGGGATGTTATTAGTAGAACTCGAATTGGTTGGTTGAAGTGGAGGAATGCTTCAGGCCTATTGTGTGATAGAAAAGTACCACTTAGACTGAAAGGAAAATTTTATAAGATGGTGGTAAGACTTGCAACGCTCTATGGCATTGAATGGTGACCTTTACAAGAGGAGCATAAAACTAAGTGAAGTGTTGCCGAGATGAGAATGATTAGGTGGATGAGTGGCTTTACACTTAGAGACAAAATGCGAAATGAATATATTTGTGATAGGGTTGGTGTAACTCCAGTGACAGACAAAAATAGAATAGAGAGAGTCGTCTTAGATGGTCTTAGATGGTTTCGTCACATTAAACGTCGACCATCTGATAATCTGATTTGAAGAGTAAATGTTTCAGATTTTGCTTATGTTAAGAAAAGGCAGAGGTAGACCTAGGATGACTTGGGCTTATTGTATAAAAAATGATCTTAATTTACTGGGATTAAATGAAAATATAACACTAAAAGGATTCATGTAGCCGACCCCACCTAGTAGGATAAAGGTTTTGTTATTGTTGTTTGTTGTATGTCATTTCCAAGTTTCAAACAAGGATGACAAACGAGACATTTTGAAAATTGTATTTCCTAAGGGTTTAATATCATAGGATTTCATGCTAATTGCATCTGTCTAGTGTAATTTTATTTTTTCTCTAGCAATTATTTTCTATTAAATTTGAGGTATTCTTAGTATTTTCTCTTTATAGTATTTCATTTTTAATAAAATCCACTCCCTTGCAAATAAAATTGGAAGCTACAAAAAAGAACTTCACACAAAAAGATGTATTTGAAAGAAGACAAATCCAACGAATTCCAAATATATTGATTTGAACTAAATAATGTGTTTTAAATACATTTTAATTTTACATTCCATTTGTTTTTCTTTTGATCAAAACCCCTGCAAAAGGAATGCAATACACTTTGTTTATTGCCAACCAAATGAGCCCTACATGACTACCGACAAATTGAGATTACAATAACGTATAAGAAAACTTACCATCAGCTACAATGGAAACAAGATGTTACAGGAGAGAGCATAATTGAATTAACGATATGATGGGGTGTCATTGTACTCCAGCGCATGATAACGATACTTAAGAAAGACAGAAGGGAAAGCATGAAGAAAATTTGAGGATTGCAACATGATAAGTTATAATGTGAACACAAATTTAAGAATGGTTTAAGGAGCGGGAAAGCCCTCTTTAAGAAATTTGAATTTAAACTTAGGGTTGGATGGGGCCATTAGAGTCATTAATTAAGATGTACGTTGCTATTTTGTTGCTTTGATGGGATTCTTGTGGAGGTGGTAGAGCATTTATAATCAATACATGGTTCTAGCATTAAGGAAGGTTCTAAAGTAGAAAGCCTTCATCAACCAACTTTGGGGATGGAGTGAGGCTCTCCTATTTTCTATCACTGGGAATGATTACAGATACTGCAAACCTATTAACAGCAAAAATAGCAAATAGCCGTAGAAATAGCATACCAAGGCCGCACTTTCATAGTTATCAGCCACTCCAGGAAGTTTCCTTAAGCCACCAGCAGCTGTCAAAGCGACTGCACTAGAAGCTCCCTTAAATACATTACACTGGACCTGCAGTAGGCAGAACATCTGGTTACACAAAATTAAGTAGCATTTACCATTTTTATAATCGTATGTATTCTACTTAAATTATGAGGGAAGCAATCATAAATCACAAAGGCCAGAATACCAAATATTAAAATCTGCCCAAACAAAGAAGGAAATCAGATTATCACAGTTCAATCAGTTCATATGATGTATGAAAAATTTTTAAAGCTTAAAACCATTATACATTCACATTCGCACCAAGGCAAGCATTAAGCTTCTTATGACAGTAAACGGATTTGCTTTTTTGGTTTTCTGCCACACCAAATGGAACCTAAAATGATTGTTAATTCAATAAATTTAATTTTTTAGAAATTTGGATATTTCCATCTCAAGGTTCTGTACTTTATAGTTTATTAAATATGCATGGCTCTACTTTCCATAATCTTTTAATTGAAAGGCGGCTTGTGCATACTCAGATTTACACTAGTCTGCGGCTAATTATTCTATGGTGCATATTTATTTCTTTATAAAAAAGTACTTTGTTTTTCTAATTAATACCGTAATAATAATAACAACCAAAAGATTGATTGAAACCAGCGGGGATGGGGAAACAACCTGCACTGGTGAGAAGCTTGTAAGCCAGGTTAGCCACTTATACAAGAGTAGTTCTGCAAGATATGCTTCACGGAAAAATAAAATTAAAGGACATGAATATGTAATAATTAAATGCTTAAGAGTATCAAAATCTAATTACTTTCATAAGCAGCTTGACTAAATCAAATTAATTGAGCAAGCATGATTAGACAGATAACAGCACAAGGCGTATTCAACATATGCCATCATTTATAGCCTATAAACACCAAATGTTGGCTGCAGCTAGATGACACTTTGGAACAGATTAAGGACTTCAAATTTTCAGTACACAAAGATGTACGTTCTTAAATACCTTTGAAGCTCTTTTACTATTTATTCCTATGACAGCCAATTATTCATTTTAAATAGTAAGAACAATTTTTCCCTTCCATGACAACCATAAAGGTTTTGTGATGGTTGAAGAAGAAACTTACCCAAAACCATTTCCTTGGAAAGCCTCCACCCCAATTTTTTTCCGAGTAAGATGGAGCATTTTCAAATTCAAAGCGTTCTCCATCCCATTCAATCCAACCTGTGGAATGCCACTGAATCTTTGGATAGACTCTAAAAAATACACAACAATCTTACCACATCAATGAATCTAAGATGTTCAGAAAATAAAAAGAAAAAAACACACACACACACACAAAAGATACATGAAGAACTTTTTTCATAACGAAAGAAAGTAAAATAGGAGCTTTAAGTTGATTATAATAAGTGAAACAGATGGGAAAATTTTTCCAATGATATGCTTCAACAATTAAAAAAAAAACATAGAATAGCATACATGCCCTTCAAGGGTAAAAAACTAAATATTACAAGCTAATTAACTACCAGAATTTTGCTCAGCAAAAGCACCAGCCCCATCTTCAAAATTAAGAGCACGTTTTAATGAGTTAGATTATTTTCAGTTCAATCAGACTTCGTTTGTTATTTTTACACCATTGTTTATTTAGATCCAAAGTACAAACACATTATGGGAGCAAACTTCCTTTTAATTACCCCTCCTACTCGTGAGAAAGCATTCACAATTAAAAGTGCTCAAATGTGCTCATTTGTAGGCTATACTTTAAAATTTGGGGTCCAATTGAATTAATGGGGGACGAAAGTAGACCCATCAAGATCTAATGATTTTATCATCACAAGAATACCATTGTTCCTAGTTTATCAATGCTAGAGATACTTAAGCCATAATATCAAGAGAATTTGATTAGCAACAATTGGTTGCCTCCTCTTAGGCATCAAGAGCATACTCAAAGAAATATATCTCAAAGTTTTGAGAAAAATAGGTTGAATACTGAATAGGCTCAATTGTCTTTTCCCTTTGCTTTCATTCCATTAAATAACAATCTTACAATCTATTTTAGGTACAAAATAAAGTGCATATAATCTATTTTAAGTAACTTGATAATACATATTCCTAATCTAAATATTCAGCTAAAAGGGAAATATATCATAATAAATATATTGGAAATAAGGAAGCTTCTAATTATAGAATACTCTTAATTTAGCTGTCTGATTTTCATTCTTTCTGATTGACATCCCCCCTCAAATTGATGTTGATTGATCAGGAAGCATCAATTTGCCAACAAGAAGCTAATAACACTAATAACATTGCTGAACATTGTTGGGACAAAAAATTCTCAATCCGTGAGTGTCGAAGTCCGAAAATGCCGAAGCCCAAGAGTGTTGAAGCCACAGTTTTGCCGAAGCATAAGAATGCGAATCCCAAAAGTGCCGAAACCAAAAAATGTCGAAGCCAAAAAATGCGGAAGCCTGAAATGTCAAAGTCTGAGAGTGTCGAAGCCCAAAAGGGCCAAAGCCTAAAGAGCGTCGAAGCCTAAAAATGCCAAAGCCCAAAAGTGTCGAAGCCTGAAAATGCTAAAGCCCAAGAGTGTCGAAGCCTAAAAGTACCAAAACCCAAAAATGTCGAAGCCCAAAAGTGATGAAGCCTAAGAGGCTGAAGCCTAAAAGTGTTGAAGCCCAAAAGTGTCGAAGCCCAAAAGTGTTGAAGCCCGAGAGGCCGAAGCCTGAGAGTATCGAAGCCCAAGAGGGTCGAAGCCCAAGTTTTGCCGAAGTCTAAGAGATCTATGGTTTGTCGAAGCTGAAGCCATCGATCTAGAAATGAGTGTTGAAGCCGAAGCCAAGGCGGTCGAAACGAAACGTAAGAAGCAATCGAAGATGTCACAGAAGCAGCGATGCTTAGTGAAGAAAATCTGAATCAAATGAATAATAATACAAACATAACAGCCCTTTTCAACCCAAGAATCCTTGTATTTCACAATGAATGGATTTTGCATTTTAGAATTTTGCATTTAATGAATGGATTTTGCATTTTAGAATAAGTTCTATCTCCTTCAAGACATAATTCTTCATACAACTTATTCATGCAAACCAAAGAAAATTTCTCGCAAAACCAAAGTATCATCCACGGATTCATCAGAACTCGCATTCTTCCTGTAATTCCTCAATCTCCAAAGCCATAGAAACAGAGGAGGAAGAAGCCGAAAGTCCCACAAGCAACTCCAGAAAAACCCTAAATATAAACCCATGATTCTCCTTCTCATTCGCCCTAAGAAACCAAACAAAAAATTCAACCAGTTTTTCCCATTCCTTGACCCTATTAGCCTCAACCATCTCATCCATCAAAACCCTAAAATCCCTCGACGGGTCCTCCGAATCAACTGTCATCGCGATGCTCTGTTTGAACAGGACTTCACCGGCCAATTTCAATTTCACCATGATCGACGAGCTGGTCTCGTCGGGATCAAAGAAGGTCGATCGGATCGCAGCCGTCGAATGACATTCTCGACGGAGTTGTACGAATCGCCGAAAACGGAGGTTGCAAAGAAGCTCTTAATTTCTTCTTCGGTGAAGGTGAGGAAGGAGTCGTGGGAGTCGAAGTACATGGAGTTTACTGTCTTGAAGATGTCGTGGACGCAGCCGGAGAAGAGGATTTTCATCAAAAACCCCAAAACTTTATTCATTGTGTTTCTCGTTCCGACAGTGGTGCAGATGAAGAAGAAGAGGGCTTTAGACAAAGTAGACGAGCGAGAATAAGGCGAAGAAATAGTTCATCCCATCCCGCAAGAAGGCCGGCGGGAAGGGAGCCTTGATGGTCCTCCAATAATTACCAGTGGTTAGGGCAAAATTTTGGCTTTGATACCATGTCAAAGTTTTAATAAAAATAGGTTAAATACTGAATAGACTCAATTGTCTTTTCCCTTTGCTTTCATTCCATTAAATAATAATCTTACAATCTATTTTAGATACAAAATAAAGTGCGTATAATCTATTTTAGGTAACTTGATAATACATATTCCTAATCTAAATATTCAGCTAAAAGGGAAATATATCAGAATAAATATATTGAAAATAAGAAAGTTTCTAATTATAAAAAACTCTTAATTTAGCTGTCTGATTTTCATCCTTCCTGATTGACAATATAGACTTTAGCTATTTTAGGATTTAATTATTTTAGAAGGCATGCTATTCTGAATGCTAACCCAAATATAAGTTTGGTTAGGACTTGCATCCACTTGAAGGCCTATCTTTAATTGCGAAGAAGTGATAGGGAAGAGCAGAAGCTCAAAATAGTCCCCTGATAATCAAAAAGTGACGAATTTAGTCATTGAATTTTAAAGTGCTCAACTTTAGTCCTACACTATTGAAAATTGATCCCAATTAGTCCCTAGGCTAAATTTAATCGTTAAAGTAAACATTGCATTAACTTTGAATGTAATTTATAATAGAAATTTTAAATAAACATTTCATTTTATCATCACTTTTTTTGTATGAAATTGATTATTTAAATTTATAAATGAGAGTATATCTTTTTGTTTTGATATAAATAATCATTAAATACTTCCATTTACATCTAGCCAGAATTATTTATTAATTAACTAATTAATAAATATTAGAATTTTATTTGATTAATTAAATTTTAATATGTAATTTTTTTGCTAATTAACTATTAAATAGTATATTACATTTATCTAATTATAATTAATTTGCTAAAATATTAATTAATCACTAGTTATTAATCAATTAAATTAATGATATAACCTTATATGAAATTAAATTAAAGCCACAAACCTACCTTCCCCTTCCCCTCTTCTGCTCGATACCCTCACTGACATCCTTCCCCCTCAATCGGCTTAACCCAAAATCTTTGTCTTTGCGATCGAACCCTCGTGATACAATCACGATCAGAGCTAGTTGGGAAGGCAACAATGAGATAATAGCATACGAAGGCCACCAAATTTCCATCTTCCTCCTGCTCCACTTTTACTAGAAAGCACTAAGGAACACGACCCTCGTCATTCTCCCTCTATGTACCACCAGCCTTCACGCACTTCAACTACTCTAAATTCGGCAGATCCATTTTCAAACAGGATTTACTAAATAATGGATTTAAGGCAAAATAGAAGAAACAAGAATTAAGAACTCGTAGAATTTAAAGATGTCACTTTTATGGTTTGATTAGGTTAAATCATGCTAAAAAGTATAGTCCCATAATTGTTGCTCTAGTTGGTTTTAGTCGAGCCTTCTCTAGGTCGAACCAATGAGGATCGAAGTGTGGTTTCTTCGCAGTTACTGAAGCTCAAATAAGTAGCAGTTGAACCGACGAAACATAGATCCATAGCAGCGACGAAGTAGCCACGAAGTAGTGAAGGCCTAGGGATATGACATGATGAAGCAACAAGTTTGGATGATCTTTCGTAAATATAATTTGTTAATTTGACTAATATACCCTTAATTGGTCTCATAACACCATTATATTAAACAAAAAAATTAATTTAGGCCTAATATGAATCAATTTTCAATAGTTTAGGACTAACATGATGCTTATTAACACTTTGAAACTAAATTGATCAGTTGTTGAAAGTTGAGAGACTGGTTTTGGGCTTTTGCTTTAATAGAGAACATGGCAATAAAACCAGATATCTTCTCATGCGACAATTTCTCCACAAAAATGGCTATGTGCCACTATTTCAGTAGCTAAATCAAACAACAATGATTACTAGCAAGTTTGAGGCAAAAGAAGAAATTCTCTCGAAGCATGAGAATAATATTTGTCAAGATCATGATGAAGATGATTCCAAGTAAAAATTATAAGGTTGTTCATATTAATGAGTCCACAAAACTTTTGTTGGCTTCAAGAGAATGGAGATAAGTGGCGATACTTGAGCTGACTAGGTCGTATCCCCCATATTCAATTGGTTATGGGAGTAAATGTGATCATTTTTTTTAAGGTAAATCAATATCATAGTTATAACATTATAAAATCAGACTCAAGAGAAGCCAGGGAACAACACTTAATACTTCTTGAGCAAAAATACAAAAGTTTATTAAGGTTGTATTTTAGTGTTCTCAATATCATCGATGATAAAAAATTTTAAAAAGAATTAAGACAAATTTAGCTTTACATTCCTTTTTAGGATTATTACCAAAATATTCACAGCAGGATACTACCATATGAGGCTAAAAGATAAGACCCTACAAAACTAGCCAAAGATGAAATAAGAAACATACTTTAATGCAATTACATGAATTTATAGGTTCCAAAATTCTCGACTCAATTATACTTGAGTGGTTCAAGGTCAAGTTATAAGAGGATAAATTGACATCAAATAAGAAACTAGTCAAAAATTTTACTCAAAAACAACTACTTCAAAATCTAATAGAGATTAATTATTCTTCTTGATTATGAATGAGAACTGTGAAACAAATTTAGTTTGCCAGGTCTAAGAAGCCTTATTTTTGTAGCAACAATTTGATTTGCAGAGAATAATGCATCAATGTTATCTTAGATTAAATGGTGAGAAATGATGATAGATTTTATCAAGATCTCATGATTTCATCATTTCGTATTGTTATAGACCCAAATCTACTAGGCGAAAGAATGAATTGACACAATTTGAAAAAAGAATCATTCCCAACAACCATGAGTTTATCGTACAAGAAAACCTGTAAATAGAAAAGAAAATATCGTTGAGGATCGATTTTAAGCTAATCTTGGTTAAATGAGGGCTCTATCAAATAAACTTTGACAACAAATCACATTCAAACTTTGATCATAATTATAATATAGTGATATTATTGAAATTACACTAATAGCCACCACTTAGAAAGAAATTTTCCAAATCTTTACAAGCATTAAATTTTTTAGTGTAATAATATGAATAAAATTGATATAACATTGTTGAAATTACACTAATAGCCACCAGTTAGAAAGAAATTTTCCACATCTTTACAAGCATTAAATTCATTAGTGTAATAATATGAATAAAATTGATATAACATTGAATTCTATGAATTTTAGTCGAACTTACATTTATCATCTTTGGTGGATCAATGGGAAGGGTGGATGAGAGGCTTCTATATGCACAAAGAAACAAATTACTGCTTTTATCTTTTTGATTTTTGTATATTTTTGTTGAAGGACTTGAGTTAGAATTTTATTCCATTAAGAATTTGTTCATACTATGACCATCATTGAGACAACAGCCTGGAGCATATTTCTTTCGAAATTCTGAGGCAATTTATGGTTAAAAGATCCCCTCTACTCATAATATTCTGGTAACTGAGAACTCATTGAGTGAAAGGTACATTTAATTTTATTTTGTCATTGGATTATCATGCCCTAAATTTTGCCAACATTGATATTTAGTTTTAGAGGAAGGAAGGTTATTGAATTGCGAACTTCGTTGATTCTACAAGCTCACCTGGAGAGAATTAAGCTTGGGCAAATTTATGTTTCTATCGCAATTGAATAAAATTTCCTAAATATTATATTATAAGATAAATTGCATTGGAGGTTGAGGTTTTTATGGGGGAGTCCCACGGTTAAAATTGACAGCACCACCTATAGAGGAGGTGTTCATGGGTTGGGAGAAGGAAGAGTCATATGTTGCGAGAGGGGAGAACGAAAAAGATTTGGGAAGCTTTTGGCACTAAGACGAGTGCAGATGGAGATTTGAGACAATGTGGTGAATCACGTAAAGGGAGAAGAGGTGCAGTAGCAAAACTAAATGAAAGGCAAAGCGTGTGCTGTAGATCTCAGGTGCAAGTAACAAACAAAAGCTAGAGAGCACAGGTAAAGGATGTAGAGGAGCTCAGGTCTTTAGTGAGGTGATATTGGTTGGTATTGGTAGGTAAGTTCAAGAAAGGGAAAGAATTTTTCAAGTAGTTGATTCCATTTTAACTTTCTTTTTATTAAATTGGATGTCATATGACTCCTACGTGATGCAACAATAAAGGAAAATGATTTTTCAAGTACTTGATTTCATTTTAACTTTCTTTTTATTAAAATGGATGACATATGCCTCCAATGTGATGCAACAAAAACAAAGTCTTTTCAAATAATTGATTCTAGCTTGATTTTCTTATTAAACTGGGCACCATATGCCTTATATGTGACACAATAGTCTACACATTTGTGATATATATTGGACAGAGGTGAGAGGCATGACAACCAAAATTTTTATTTTATTTTGTTTTATTATTATTTTTCCAACCATGTTATGTTCAAGTAAAATATAAATTTACTCCAACAACCTCAAAGCCCTTGCTTGGGTTATAAACTCACGCAATTAATCTTGGTTTATATGTACACACACACACGGGGCCACTAGGTTTCTATATCAATGTACTCAAGTAAAGCAAAGCGCCCAAAGGCTACAAAGATGGGTGTTTTTAACACCCATGTATGATATATATTTTATAAGTTAATAAATACACACATTATTTATGTTTTAAAAAATACTATTTATTATTATTATTATTATTGTTATTGTTATTATTATTAAAAATGTGTCTGTATACTCCTGTATAATCTTTTTCACAAATGGCAAATTTTTTATCCTCCCTTTGGGCAACAACTCAAGCAATACAAAGAAACCATCATGGGCAATTTTTATGTTCTAGACAAATAAGAAAGCTCATTTTGTGAAAGAGGCGAAAATTGAGTGCACTTTTCTTAGAAAATAAATAGTTTACCTTAATTTCAATCGAAGTTCCATCTTTTTTATTCTATTATCACCATATTTAATCTAGTCAACATGTAGAACAAATGAAGGAGAACACTCTTTTTCTTTAATCCTTGGGGTCCCCTAGCTTCCTTGATAGCAGCTTCGCAACTCTTTTATTTATAATAATGGATAAAAAGATAAATAAATAGGAGCTTCTAGTGAAAGAGAGGATGTAGAATGATCGCAGACTAAGAGTAATCGAGGTGGCACAATTGTTGTAATGTAGAGAAGGCATTATAAGAAACATGGCCAGTAATTTAGTTTACATGAAAAGGTTCTACAATGAACCCCTATTTATTGCCATACAGGATCAAATGAAATAATTCCAATTATAATCCTAAATTCAAGGAAACTAATCTAAATCCTATCAACATTCTTCACGTGGTCAACAACCAAGGCCTACTAGATTAGAGTGATTTATGGAAAGCTCCTTGCAAATTACAGCTAAGTCTTCTCACTTTCTCCATTGATCTAGTCATTTCCTTTTTCATCTTTTTAAATTTGGGTGAATCAAGCTGCAAATCCTTCCCGAGATGTGGTTGAACACTTATATATAGGTTGGAAAATTTTGATTCTGTTGTCATTCTTACCTTGTATCCAAAATATTCCAAGGGATCGAGAAGATTTTTCTAATCTTTAGAAAGCTTCTACCCACCTTCTAGAAAGTTTTTTCGAAAATTCAGAAGGTTTTCTATGCCTCGTATAAAGTTCCAAAAGCTCCTTTTAGAAGCCTCTATTAATTTGTCCTAAAATTTTGATGTTTATCTTAAATAGGCATTTTTGGTGCTAGAGCCTCCATAATAAAATATGACGTGATTATACACATTTTAAAAAATATAAATATATTTAATTACGTGTTGAGCTAAAAAGACAAATTTTATCAGAAACTAACATATATAGGATACCAAAGTGCAAAAAAATATATGCATTTAGTTCAAAATGTTGAAGAAAAAATGGATTGACAATTTGAGTATAATAACTCCTGTTCTTACTTGCATCATAATCAAATAATCATTACCCGTTGACAAACCGCCGGCCATGCATACTTGCCAATGAGGTTCAAATACAGGAAAAGCAGCTAACCAGCCTGCAGTAGATTTTTGCTTAGATTTCACATCACCCCATCCATATATTGGACGTGTACTATATTCCCAACGAGCAGTCTTCACAGTTTGAACATAGGTTGACCTATAAAAAAAAGTCATAAATGCAAATAAAATTAAATGGGTATGACAAGAGACAGCTTCAAAAAATGTTGCAGTCTGGAATGCAAGAGAATCAATGCAAGCTGCAAAACATGTTACATGTATAAATATTCTAAGAAACTATTCTCATTCATAAGATATTTCTAAAGAGCATGCCCTATTTTTCGCAAGGAGAAAAATATCAAAAGAGTCCAACTATTTTCAGGGAGACAAAATAGTACCAGACTATGTAAAAAGCCAATCTAGTCCCCAGAATTTTTAAATAACGACTAAAATATTCCTCAATCTCTTTAAATGAGGGCTAAAATAATCCCATCAAGGACTATTTTGATTCCATTTTTTACAGTTTAGGAACTAAACTGGCCTTTTACATAATCTATAAGATCATTTTCGCCCATGTCAATAGTCAGTGGATCATTTTGATTTTTGTCGCATTTTTAAAGTAAAGGAATAATTCAAATGATAATGAATATAAATAGTAAAGAATGGCATTGGCAACGACATGCACCTAAAGCTAGTCGTAAATTTAAAGATTATTATGATTAATTTACATTATCAGACTTACAAGGGATATGAAAAATAAAACAAGTTTTAAACATGCCTTCCATCATCACGAATAAAGCCCTGATGCCAAAAGGGGCTGACCTGAAAGCCTTCTAAAACGCGCTTACGAAATTCCTACAAAAATTAAATTAAGCTTGGTCATAAGTTGAATTAACAGTGAATACACAAAAAAAATTAAGTCAAAATTTCATTCAAATTTAAATGTATAACTAAAGTATTTCCTTGTAGAAGCATGCATAATAAACTGAATTCATGAGCATGGCTTTCCTTCCCTGAATTAATCATTAAGAGAAATTCTCACATTATGTTTAGATTCTAAATAGTTTAAGTTTCATATTTTTCTCATGTCTTATTTATGTGTTACACACGTCATATTTATTATAACACTTCCTTCCGATAGATTATTATGTGTGATTAGCTCCCAACCACATAAATAGTTCCTTGGGCATTATTTATTATAGTTGTTATACTGAATGATATCATGGTTCCTCACATAAAACTCAAGCTCTCTCTCTCCATCATACCCACCTCCTCTCCCCACCTCCGACCCCTTTCTCACTCATCATACCACCTCCTCTCCCCACCTCCGACCCCTTTCTCACTTTTATCTTAACTAAAGAGAAAGAAAACAAAAGAGGCTAAAGGGTTGATTCTACAACAATCACACAAAATCCTATGCCTTCTAATATTTTAACATTCTAACATAAAGCAAAATTAAACATTGTGCAATGCATCGAAATATTTTTCATTCATGAGATTAGACATAAGCCTCGAGATGATTTGAGGTATAAGCCTCAAAATCAACAAAATAGATAAAATAGAAAGTATCAAACAAACTTTAAATTATAAAATAAAAAATATTATACAACTTCAAAGTATAAAATAAAAAAATCATATATTAAATCACAACCCAATAGCAAAAAAAAAATATCATATTAACATGCCAAGATAATAAGAAATAATAAAATTATGCAAAGTAAAAAATAACATGTTAAGATTCTAACATTAAAACATGAAGTAAGAAGGGTTATTAAAACATATAAAAACATCAAAGTAAGTCATCATTATATTTCAGAATAAGTTGAACATAATTAGTCTCTCTCCAACTCCTATTGACAGCAATAGTAAGAACATGACAAATAACAAAAGGTTAGATTCCAAATCCTAAATCACTCTCGTCACTTGATTTGTTTTTAAAATCATCGATATAATAAATTGCTTTCGTCCCTCCCTCATCCTCAGTGATTTTAAATGTGCTCCTATTCCTCATCGTCTTCAATCTCAATCTTCTTCCTTTTTCCCTAATCATTAATAATCGATATGAATATTAGTTACATTTTAAAATAATGACTGGTATTGAAGATTACAACTTCAATTATATAAATTCTTATGAATACTCTTTTTTTTAATTACTTTTGGGCTTAATTACTTTTGGGAGAAATTTTAAAGCAATAAATTTCTCCAACTTTTGTTGTCATAAAATTGATTAACCAAGATATGATCATATGATCTTGGATCTTCTATGAGCGATAAAGAGAATCAATAAGATCAAAAATGGCTCCTCTAGTAAGGCGCTCCTCTTTCCCCTGCCCACAGATATACATAATGATTGATACTATTAGAGAAAATTATAGTCATTGAGTTTATGAGTTTATGATTGGTGGTGAGGGAAGAAATTTATGGCTGTCCAACCGTGTTTGTTTTGGATTCGGTACCGCCTTTTGCTATAGGACAGGAAGTCTTCATCCCTTGTTTCGTCATAGATAGGTTGGTTAGCCACTACAAGGGAGGCAGGGCACCAGGAAGGTTCTGAGAATAGAGGACTGCAAGAAAGCGGGCAGCGGCAATGTAGGAGGAAAACACGACCGGGGTCCGCAGTAGGGCCTTGAACAACAATCTATATGAAGGCAGCGGCAACATTACGTAGAGCAGGAATCTGCATGATTGTGCTGCTTGAATCAACGTAGGCTGCCAGTGCTGCTGGATACAACGAAGGCTACTGGAATCAGCAGCAGTATGTTTCTGCTGCGTGTTGTCAAGGCAAGGAGAAGGGGCTGCCGCAGGAGTGCTGCTGGAGTGTACGCTGGAGCTGGGGCTTGATAGGTCTGATAAAAGGATGGTTGAGGAGGGTGTTGTGCGTGGACAGCAGGTGAAGGCTGGTCGAGGAGGGCAAAACAGCTAGGATTCTCCCGCTCTGATACCATGAAGTAAGGTGGAGAAACTATATTCTCTTCTTTCCTTCAAAACCGAGTTACAATATTTCTCCTTATTATATGGGGCCCAGCTAGGACAAACAGAATACATACAATTACAACTTACCAAATATTAAAAAAAAGCCAAGGAAAAGACATACAATATAATAAGAAAAGAATAAAAAGAATAAAGCTGAAATATGAAACTCCCTCCAAAAGCTTTCACAGATGGAACTTGTATGTCCCAAATGGCCGGTGTCTGCGCAGCCTAACAAGAACGAAATTCCACAGGAACTAGCCTAAGGGGTGAACAAGCCCTTAATTTAACAATCCTAACAAGGTTCCAAGAAATGATAAAAAAAATGCCTATCATCTAGGAACTTTACTTGGAAATTGCTTAAGAGTCCATTCCTTACATCCAATTGAATCTTGATTGGATTGGATCATCTTATAAACTTGCCTCCAAGAAGCATATCAATCAGTTTGATCAATACTTAGTTCATCTTATTCATGGTTCATGGTTAGAGTTCGAACTTAAAAAATTATTAAGTAACACAAACGAAGAATTATAAGGCCATGGGCTCCTATTCCTTTTGAAACTCCAACTCCAACTATAAAATCCCAACTAGTGCTCTTCCGCATGCTACTTAGGTTCTCATGACCCCAACAAATATGAGAATCATGATGTCAAATGGAGTGCAACTGCCTCGAACATAAAGACAATAAAGGAGATGAGAAAAATTATGGTGATTACAACCACCCCACTGCAATCAACAAATACATGGGGGAAGCTATGCCTTCTTGCCATGCAAGGAAAGGAAGCATTCTTGGCCAATAATTTAGGAAGGGCTGCATAAAGAATGAATTGAGTTGACCCTATAGAACTAGATTAAACAATTTTTCTGGAAAAATAAATTTAATATTAATTAATCAAATTAATTAATAGAATAATTCTCAAAATTAACACAGCAAACTAATATAATTAAGAAAATATTAACTTGGTAATGTAACATCACTAATTAGTTAATCAATTAATCAATTTGGGGTTTTAAAATTTTTTTATGCCAATAACCACTCATGTACTTCTGTGCAAGCAATCTACTGCATGAAACAATTGCTATTACAACCCTCACCCCTTAAATTTATAACACATGCACACAAATGGACAGAAAAAGTCATGCTTAGCCCCAAATGATTAGAAAAAATCATATTCATATTCATAGAGTTTTGATCTAAAAGATTTCAAAATAAAAATCAAACCTTTAGACTAATAAAGCATATGGTGCATGAAGTTCTGACACATTTGACGATATAGAAAGAAGTTGATGCATTCAACTTAATCCTTATATGCTATAGAGAGGGTTTTGTCCACAATTTAAAACTGTGTCATCTAGGATTGAGAATGCTAAGTCCAAATAATCAGTTATAATGTGGTTGAAAACAATGTCCAGGTTACTTTTCCGTGTTTAAATATTTACATTTATCTGGTCCTCTGATGCAAATTAGTTAAATAAATATTTTATTGCCCAAAAAAAAAAATAGATTCATTGGAATATGAAACACATGTTCGAGTTAATTGTTAGGTGATAAAATAAAGGAATAGAACAATTTTGAAATATTATTGACACAGAAAGCACAATATCAATCGTCTTTTAACTGAAATATAGCATTATTAAACTATTCTTCCTTCAAGAAAATCAAATAAACCACACAGAAATAAATTGGCACTTTCTTATATCAGTAAAATATATTTGAGAATATTGAGTATTAATACCACCTTCTAACCAACTGAAATATACTTTTGCAAACAAATCTCTGAACAATAACTAGACTAGCATTTCGTATTGCATCTTCTCGGTTGAACATATAAGAAGTGGACATAGACAAATACTTAGCCATTCTATCATGCAAAAAGTATGTAATAAGAAAAGTGAAATATATCATCAGAAGATTGAAGAAAAGTAAATTCAAAGTATCTAATCTATAGAGATACTTTGCCATAAATTAAAAGAAAATATAAGTAAAATTCTTTAGGTATGAACAAATTATAAGAATGTAATGTGGGGAACAAATAATAGAAGAAAATACCTGAGGAGGAAGCTCCCCATTAGGAGGGACTGAATTTATTCCTGCTATGAATGTATTACCGAGCTGGAGTTCATGCCTACCTAATCATATCATGTAATACATTAAATAATTTTCTGAAGCTGAGACAAACAAAATCTAATTGCTGGTAGAAAACAGTGTTATGAAGCTGAGACAAACAAAATCAGATCGCTGGTAAATTAATGCATAAATCCAGATAGTCTGCAACCAACATAAAAAGCCTTCATGTCCACAAAACTACAAATCAGATGCCCAATTATGAATGCATGTTGTTCTATATTACAAAACAAATTAATCAGTGAGCAGATGACTAAGGTATCCAGCAACAACCTTTTAATTTAAGAAATTTGGGTGACATTATAGAGTTAAAGAAAGTCCTATTCAAACATATAGTTTGCTCCATGCAGTTTTCTGTAGGTCCTTTTAGTAAGGTTTTACTAATGAACTATAGTATAATCCAGTTTGTTCTAGTAATTTCAGTTTATAGACAATTGCTCCTTCTCTTTATATGGCTTTATAGGACTCAGAGTGCCTTCTCGGTTTCGAATAGGTTTGTTGTCATGACAAAATCTATAGATATGGTTTTAGCTAGACCAGAACCAATTCACCTACTTGAAACTCCTAACAACATTGATGCTTCTCATGCATTGTTGAGCTCTTAAAAATTGATCGTAAATGAATTGTAAAGTCACTCTCATTCATGAAACAAAGTATCAAACATCTCAACAAATAACTGAGTGTCCAATGTATGGATGTGTCGTTAGTGATCTAAGTTCATATAAGGAGTGGAACAGTAAGCTGTTGATGGCCATGCGGTAAGTGTTCTATGAGAATTCAGCCCAAGGAAGGCATTGAGTTCATGGTGCAAGGTTGTCCAACGCAGAACAACAAAAATATTGTTCCAATCCTCCATTGGTTAATTCCACGTAGTTGTCACTTGCCAAGTGATCAGTAGTACTATATTATAGTTTTGTGCCCAATGCCTTATTGAATTCCTTCTAGAAGGAACTCAAGAACACTATTTTAATTAGATGTTGCAGTTTTTGGCATCTTATGCAATTTGCCAACTTCTGCAATGAAAAGAACAATGAACTTGCTTGTTGTATAATAGGGTGGTAATGTTAAGGAAGTGGTTGTAGCAAACTAGCGGGAACCAACGGTTGATTTTTTTTCATCTTTCATGTGGGGAAATTTCTAATAAATTCTTCTACGCCCTTTCTTTACCTTGGCCCAGTAGAATTGTTTTGTAATTCTATGAAATGTTCTATTGAAGTTGGAGTCTGCCAATAACACTTGAATAGTATTTCTTTAATGCCGCCACTTGCAAAGAGTGAATTTTCTAAATAAGCACAAAGCATCCCTTTTTGAAGGTCCATTCTTGATGCAGTGTGGCTAATTTGTCTGGGCTTTTTGAATCAAGTTAACGGCTTTGGAGTCTTATAAACCTTTATATCTTTTATAAGATACAGGGTATCGATGCACTAATGACAAAGCCCATTTTTTGCATGTTTTGATTTGCCAGTTGTCATCGTGTCAAAAGAAAAAAGGCATCATATGCCTAGTTGGCTTATCATAGATTATTTTCAAAGGGGTAGCCATAACGCAACAATTTAAAATAAAAGAACAAAAATATTGCTACTCTAGAGTTTGAATGACTTGAAGATTAAATATCTACAACTTTGGAGTTTAAAATGCTTGAGCTATGAGTTCTAGAAAGCTTTTGTAATTGGTTCGTATAAACAATGGAGTTCCACTTGCGGTGGCCGCGAATCTGAGGGAAAAGCCGGCCGCGGGTGAGACCCTGCGGCCCGCGGTATCACTCCGACTTTTTACTCCCCTACCCTTCTTCCATTTGATCCCTCCTGGGGAGCTTCCTCTGCCGATCGGAAACGCGTGCCAACATCCGAAGAGTCGGTAAATCAACATCTTTCTTCCTCTTCGAGTCTGCTCTCCCTTGCGAGTAAGAATGGAAAAATTAGGGTATCTAGCAATGAAGACAGATCAAATCAGCAGCGATCTCATTAATTCAGATCTACTTGAGCTCGGTATGGCTGCCAAGAACCTCGCCGATCACGCCTTCATGCTTGGAAGCGGCCTCCATTATTCTCCCAGTAAGCGGCCTGCATTATTTACCCAAAAGTGAATCTCCATTATTCTACCAGTAACCCTTAAATTGAAGTTTGTGGTTGTATCTTTAGGTTTCCATTATTCTCCCAATACCCCGATTTCCACAAGATATCAAAGGCTGTGGCTCTGAATGAGATAAAAATGAAAGTAAAATTATTGATGTATCAAATTCTTTTTGATTTTGCTTTTCTCTAGTTAGTAATCTGGCACATGGAAACAGATATTGAACTGTTCTTTCCGTAAGAGCATCCTTTGCATTTCTTTTGATTAGCATCAATTGTGTTTTTGAGTTTACAACTTGTATGCATTTTCATTTTCTTTTAGATTGATTGTTCTTGCTGGTTTACTAAATTTTTATTTATACTTCCTCTCTTTTATAAAATTGCTGCAGATGTTTC